CGTCTTCGGGGAAGTCTCGGTGCACTGCAACCGTTTCGCCAGTGAATTTTAGCCTCTAAACAAAATCGCGAACCCTATCTACCACCTCTAGAGAGTGGCAATTTTGAGGTGTCAATTCGGCAAACGTTTTGTAGTCGTTGCAATTGAACTAGCTGCCGCACAAGGTGTCTATCTCCTAAAGTTCATTTGTCTCGTTTAAACATGTTTTGATAAGTCTGTTTGGAGTATTCATTAAATAAGAAAATCATATAGGATATGCCAGCCTTCAAAAGGCTTCTGCGATTACCTTACACATTGGTTTGATTGCTATACATGCATTCTTCAACGCATCGCGTATTCTACCAGTGCAAGAGATGCAACGTGATTGCAGATGCGCGGAAGAGCTGACGGGCGACGTATATGGAAATGCAATCCCTGAAAATCCGGAAAATGTGACGCTTGTATGAATAAAAACAACCTGAACAATTGTTGACCCGTTGCAGACAAATACTTTTTGCCCTTCTGTTTTAACCTGTTTTGTGCTGTGACTTAAAGTTAGAGATAAATATGAACGTCTCACTCTCTGACAATAAATCGACTTTACCGTGCGTAAGAAAGGTGATTAGTAATTAGCAAGCCAGCACTTTCCAGCTATCGCAAAATAAGACATTAGATTTTAACGGAAGGTAAGAGAGAGACTCTGGCTTTTAGCCCCAAAATGCGGATTTTGTGTACCCGTGGAGGAAATAACCTCCGATGATTCCCAAACGCCAATTCTGTTACAAAAATTAGCTCCTTTTCAAGATAACCCACAATCAAGACTTGAATTCATCGGTCTCAATCACAACACCAACATGGGTAAAGTAAAAGATAAAATATGGTAAATGTTGTAGCTTTGGGAAAACAAGACTATCTCATTGACAAATTGCTCTAGTTAAAGTGGCTAGGTACGTTTAAAAATAATGCGGTTGAAATGCATGATTTTGGTCGGAAGCCCCAAAGTAATTACTTTATTGCTCAGAGTAGAGTAAAGTAAGTAATGAACATTTCATGACACCTCATGCCAGTAGCCTCCAACACCATCCGTACATCAGGAATGCACCTTAACACACGTGACTGCATTATGATGGGACTGGATGAGGAGCAGACAGCGTCCTTCTCTCCTTCCACAATCCAAATCTTGTTCTTTGCGAATTGGAGTGTGACTTGCATTCCTCTGATTGACCAGTCATGAATGGTCGTGAAAAATGCTCTCGTGGAAGTTGCGAGTGGCGCCTCATTATTC